CCCTCCTGGGCTGCAGAACGCCACCACACCCCGGAGCCTGGAGGCTCCCGTGCTTTGCGTCTGCGTCCGTCCGCCGGAGGAAAAACGGCGTCTATCTTTCAGGAGACTGGAGTGGGGCTGCGATTCACCACGTCGTCCCCAGTAGCTGCCTGTCATTTACCAAATACACCTCACTGCAGACGTGGTGCTCAGAATTTCACTTACCCCATTTGCTGACCCCAGACAATTTCCCGAGGCAACTCTCATGGTTTCTCTTGGCCAGATGAGGAACCAAGGTGGACATCAATGGCCAATGTAACGTCTGGTTTCTTCACAAATGGGAATTCTCTTTTGAGGCCGTAAAGCAGTAGAAACAGGCCTGGACTGAGCTTGTTAGGGGCAGGGCAGTGAGGGGGCTGTCCTTTCCCACGGGCTTTTGTAGTGACTGTGCAGCCCGCCCTTCCTGTGAAGTATGGAATATTGACATCAGCCACATCAGCCCACTCCGGAGAGTTTCTCTGGCCAAGGAGTTCCCAGGTGCTCCGCTGTTAGTATTGAGTGTCCATGAGTTACATGGCAGCCTAAGTAGCAAAGTCAAGACCATCCATGATTAATACATGTGAAAGAAGGTAGATTTGAAATTACGACCAAATATGTGAAAAAAAAAACACTGCTACAAACTGGAGCTGTAGGTCTCCTCGAACCTGCCTCCCTATGCTCTGTTCCTTAACTATTAAAACTGGAACCATAACTGACCTGCTGACCTTCAGGAAAGGCTGAAGAAGAGACAAAATTTGTGAAAGTTGATTTTCAACTATAAAAAAATGTACAAAAGCAAGGTATTGTGATTACCTGATCCTATTAAAAAAAACAAAGGTTTTTCTGTTTGATCATCATCATTTAACTTCTAAGTCACTGCCTCATGTTTCCCATGAAGCCAAATCAAAAGTCCATAAATACCATGGAAACACACACCATTTTTGAATCCACAGTAGCATATTATTACGAGGGTCTTATTCCAATCGGAATTTTTCTGGCAGTTCAATCATGTGTCAATTTCATTATTATTGTATTACTGTCAGCACATTCTATACATCAAATCGAAGAACTGCATAACGTTCTGACTCTAACGGACCTGAACCCACCGTACTTTCATTCTGCAGGTGGAGAAGCCCAACCCCTAGAGGGAAGAAGAATCTGGCCAAGGAGCCTATCGAGTGTATTAAGATTTCAGAGACTATTGCACTGGTTTGGATACATTCTCCATTTTATAAGATTAGTGAAATATTTTTTATTTTGTTTGGAAATGTGGCCGACACCCAGTCCTTTTCTTTTCACGGATTTTTAAATAATTGCCTCAGGGAGACATTTGTCCTAAGTCCAATAAGAATCATGCGTTGCCTGCCACCTATAGGCAGAAAAGTGGAAGTGAAAGAGTTTTACCTTGGATTTCAGAACTACCCGCAGAGTGTATGTATTCTGTGGTCCATGGTGGTGGGCATCTCGTGCATACACGTGTTTGTCTACATAGCATCACAACCCGTTACCTGGGAGACACCTTGCATCTGGGCAGAGGTCTGGCTCCTGTGTCTTCACAGGAACTATTCTTCACAGGTGCACCAGTTTCTTTAACATGAGGAGGATCGTAACAGCACAATCATTAGTAGATCCTTTCTGTTCTGATAGTATATGATATCAAAAATCCTCATGGTTTTTTCTTTTACTTCTAGTAACATATACTCACACACAATACAAAATTTACCATTTTAACCGTTTTAAAGTGCACACCTTGGTGGCATTACGTACATTCCCGACATTGGGCAGCCACCATCGCCACCTAGTCCCACATTTTATCACCCCAAAAGGAAACGCCCAGTAATCAGATACTCCCCATCCCCCCGTTGTCCCAGCCCTAGGCAACCACTCATCTACATGCTGTCCTCATAGATTTGCCAGCTCTCCCCATTTCCCATCAAAGGAACCACACATGTGGCCTTTTGAGTCCTCCTTATTTCACTTAACAAAGTTTTCGAGGCCCGCTCATGTGAGAACGTGTATCCGTATTTCCTTCCTTACTGCTAATGAAGGGTGCCCCACTGCGTGCCTGTCCCACACGCTTGTGTATTCACTCGTCGGCTGATGGACATTCGGGTTATCTCCACTTCCTGGCTATTGTGAACAGTGCCGCTATGAACATCCATGTGCACATTTTTACTTGAATCTGTTGTCATTACACGTGTGTACACATACATATATTTGTAAATATTGGCTCGCTCGTAAGATAACCCTATAGTTAACTTACTGAGGAAGCAGCAAACTTTTCTATCGTGGCTGCCCCATTTGACATTCCCACCAGTGACGATTAAGGGTCCAATTCCTCCCCATCCTTGCATCCTGCTATTCTCCAGTCTGCTGCTGTTGTGGTTTATGGCCACCCCGGTGCATATGAACTGGCGTCTCCGTGGATTCAGCTGCATTTCCCTAGTGACCATTGGCATTGAGCGTCTCTCTATGTGTTTGTTGGCCACCTGCATTTCTCCTTTGAAGAAAAGTCTATTGGAGTTCTCTGCTCACTTTATTTTTTAATTGGGTTGCTTGCCTTACAACTGTTGAACTGCATCAAGATTCTCTGTTAATACACATAAATGTTTTGCAAACCCAAGCGTATCTTTTCTCTCTTCTTATTTTGTCCCCTTTGATGTGAATGTGACGCACCTCAGAACAATTACCTTCTATATTGGAACCAGCTGAGCTCTAGCTCCTTCCAACCCTGTAATTATAGGACTTTATGTTCCTATGACCAGATTAATGAGATTGCCCAATGGGCTCGATTTTCTAGTTCGTCGTCCTTTGGAACGGCACGCCTGAGCCTCCAGAACCAGTAATGCAAGCCTTCCTCAGCAGCTGCCCTTCAAGTCTGTGACTTGGAATTAAAGTCATATAAGAAATTTATTGGTGATAAATCCTGATAGCATTCATTTATTTCTCCCCCAAATGAGCTGATTTTCCAACATAGCTTATAACATTTCCAAACAATGCAGGAAACAATTTTCAAACTCTTATTTCACAACAACATTTGAGCAGGAGCTTTCCTGCTAGGAAAAAAACACCTTAAATCTTTCCTAATTCAGTATAAATAGCAAGAATAAATATGCACTTTTTATGACCTCGTAAATATGCAAGGTATAAATATGCAAGGTATGCATTTTATACCTTGCATATTTATTTACGAGCATTTGTATTGAGAACAAATGCTCCCTGGAAAAAGAATTTCGTATTTTAACAGATTTATTATTTACAGTTCGGGTCTTATATGTACACACACACACACCCCCCTAGATATCTATTTTATAATTACTTAATTCATGGTTATGTACAAGGTGACCTGTTGATTGCCAAAGAGAGACAAGTAACTTTTAGTTCCCAAATCACTTCCTCTTAAGTCCAATTTCCATATATTTTTTAACAAGATGGAGAAAGGCCAGTGAGTCAGGGTATTCTTTGTTAGGACCCACCCACCATCTTTGCTTAATCTTCTTTAATCTTAATATTTCTTAGTCTGTCGTCTCCAAACCGAATGCCTGGCCCTCACCTCTTCTGGTTACAACATGGCTCCCCTGTGGCTCGCTCGCCTGCAGAAGCCTGGGCCACACCTGGCCTCCATGCGCCAGTCAACGTCCACGTTCCAGCTGAGTGTCGGGGGCAGGCATGCTTGCTCGGACGGGGCTGGTTAAACGAGGTGGGAGACCCCCTGCAGCTGCGGTGCAGGATGAGGAAGGAAGCGCTCCAGGCACCTGCTCCAAACATCTCCAAGACATGTCAGCTAAAACAGGGCAAGTCCAGAACAATCGGTACAGCCCGCTGCTGTTCATACAGAAAGGAGGCAGAGATGCCTGTGTGCTTACGGGCACAGAGACAGCCTCTGGAGGGACTGGGAAGAGCCTGGTGACAGCCGTCACGAAGGCCTGGCGACAGGACGGGACGGGAAGGAGAGCTGGCTTTCACTGCTGAGAAGGGAACTGCGAGGGAAACACATCGAAGGGTGCTGGGTCTCCTCCAGTCACGTCGGGCGAGTGTGTAGCTACATCAGCTGGGCGCTTCGGCATCCACCTTGAACTAGACCTACATGAAGCTATCCTTCCAGACCCTGCTCTGATGCCGGCACCCTCGTCTAGACCTGCCTCACGTCCCCCTCTCAGCAGGACCCCACGGGGTGCCCCCCACCCCCACACACCGCAGAGCTCTCCCCAGTGCCTGGTGACGTGGCCTTCTGTCCCCCACTGCACTGCTGCCCCCGGGGGCCAGGAAAACTTAGTCAAATGAGAGAATAGTCTACCTTCTTCCCCTGAACAACTTCCTGATTTTTAATACATAGATCCGGTTTGCCAGGTTTTTTAAATAATGCTGTATGTTTTCTCCAGCAGTTTCCCTCCTTTTTAAAACACCGAGTGTGGGTGAGCAGCACCCACGGCGGTGTTCTGTGCCCACTGCTGTGTGGGAATGGTGCTGTCCCATGCTCTCTGTGGCACACTTCTGCTCTGTTGACCGCTGTGAGGGGGGAGGAAGCTCGGATAGACGGCCTTGAACCTGTCTCCTGGTGCCTGTGGGGCTCTGTCTGCTGGGACTGCGTGTGAGAGGGAATCTGTGTGTTCCGCTTCTTGAGGGCAGAGAAGACGTCTCTGCCCGCCTGTGTCTCTGTCCCCTGGCATACAACCTGGGGCTGAGCAGTCGCTCCCGGCGACTGGTTCCTGCTCCACCTCAGCCTCGGTTTCCTGAGTTACGGTTCACGCCCTGCTCCTCTGAGCAGGAGAGCCTGTCTATTTTTAGGGAGAAAAGCACTCAGAGCCTTCTGCCCACAGCCTTACTCAGCAGACCAGATACATGTGCTCATGCCTGATCGGTGTTCCCAAAAGCCTATAAATGTCCCCTTCCCGTGCGGCCTGCTCTCCACTCCGCTGCGCCTGTTGGCACATTCGCTCTCCCACCCAGGAGGGCCGGGCAGGCCGAGGGAGACCGCACCCATGAAGGTCCTCTTTCTGTTTGCCGTTCTCCACTGTCTGGTCCCCAGGACCTCGGGTAAGTGCGTCCCTGCCAGCGTGGGAGCCGCCTCTGGCCCAGAGAGAGGAACCGGGGAGGTGGGGGTAGGTGGTGCGAGAATTCACGCGTGTATGTGTCCATACGGGGCTGCAGTGTGTCCGCGTGCTGTCCCGACACACAGGGGGAGCCCCCTGGGGCTCAGCTCTGGGCTGTTTTCATCCCCCCACGAACTGTCAGGGTCGCACTAAAGGCAAAGGGGCGCCTCTGCTCCAGGACCAATAGGAAGCGCTCGTGCAGCGCGAGGAGTCTTTAGAAGGTGACGGCAGTCACCAGGATGTCAGAGCTGGAAGGGACTGGGGACCTTCCGTGGCAGCTCCACACTCTGGAGGCAGAGGAGACCGCCCCGGGAAATGCTCTGCTGGGCCAGTGGCAATCACAGTCCTGGGGGGTGGTCGCATGGAGCCCATTTGACAGGTGAGAAAACCGAGGTGTGGCCGGTGACGTGCATTGTCCAAGGAGAAACAAGGCATCACTGGGACGGGCGAGGCTAGACTCCTCCGCTGCAGACCGCTGGGCCGGCAGCCCTTCCTCCTGCGTCACACATGGGGCCGAGCAGTCGCCTCCCTGTCCTCCCCAAGCCTGGGAGGACGTGGGATCGGAGGTTGGCCTCATCTGTGGCTGAGACGGGGTGCAAGGCTGTCAGACTCATGCAGGCCCAGCGCTGTGGGTGTTTGGGGGCTTTTTAGTTTTTCAGTCACCATCGCCGGCATTTGCAGACCTGACGTAAGACCTTTCTTTCAACTCCCTCGTTCCCACGGGGCAAAATGACCTTTTTTAAAATTGACGAGTAACATTACATTCGTTTCTATTCTATATCTATTTGATATCTATATATTACAAACTATTCAGCACATACATCTAGTTAACACCCATCACTTCACATAGCTATAATATTTTTTCTTGTGACAAGTATAAAATATTATCATAATGGGAACATAGGTACTTGTGTTTGACCTACACACCCGTGAGTTATGGTGGAGACGTTTTATTTTATGCTTTCCATTGTAGGATATAAAACTAAAAATTAAGGCTCTGGCTGGCATAGCTCAGTGGATTGAGCATGGGCTGCGAACCCAAGTGTTGCAGGTTCAATTCCCAGTCAGGGCACATGCCTGGGTTGCAGGCCATGGCCCTGGGTAACCACACATTGATGTTTCTCTCTCTCTTTTTCTCCCTCCCTTCCCTCACTAAAAATAAATAAAATCTTTTAAAAAACCCTAAAAATTGAGCTGAGAACTATTTCCAATTCTCCCGGGGACTGAGACTCACCCCTCCATTACTCCACTGTCCCCCCAAAACCCTCCTGGCCTTCTCTAATGCCTTCACTCACACCCACCCCCAGGAAGCTGGAGAGCCCTGGTGTTCGGTAACAATGTAGATTATCGTTCCTGATTTAGAGCTAGGGGACCGATGTACAGGTGCTCTTGAACTTGCCCAGAGAAAGTCAACATTTTAAGAACAGAGTCAACCCTTGGGGTCTGGCTGTGGGCTGGGCGCCACCTTGGTTCTCTGCACGAAGGAAATACCAGCTCTGTTCTCTTGCACCTACAGGGGATATTCCGCCTGGAATCCGAAATACTATCTGCCTTTTGCGCCATGGGACCTGCAGGCTTTTTTTCTGCCGTTCTGGTGAGAAAAAGGGGGACATCTGCTCGGATCCTTGGAACAGGTGCTGCCTATCCCCAGACGCGGAGACCTGAGCTGCAGGCTTCTGGAAGGCGCCTGGGTCTTCAAGGGCCCCCAGGGCTTAGCGGCCTGTGTGGCTTGTAGTAGGTGCTCAATAAACCTTTGTGGATTTAATCCAGCCCCAAGGGCCAAGGTCTAATGAAAGAATTTTCCTAACAGCTTGCTTACTTTGCCTTCCTCAGTTTCTTTTTAAGAGCCTTAGAATTTTTGTCATATTCTACTTCCTTTCCCTGTTCCAGAGAGGACCTTTTAGCTGCCCACCGATGACGGTGCACTTGAAACCGAGGCTAAACTATCTCACCTCTTGAGGGACAGAATTACAGCCAGCTCCCTCGCCTCTTGTCCAGATGTGGCCGGCACGCCATCAAGGCCAAACCCCAGCCTGGTTCTGCCTGTCCCCAGAACCCAGCGGGCTCTGCCTGTTTCCCCGGTCACCCCCAGTCACAGCCCCAGTAGGTCACATGGTCGCAGGATTTTACTGCTTTCAGACATCTACTCCTAGTAATTCCACTGGATTAAGACAATCCTGTGTAGGAATGGGAGGGAAATGGGAGTCAGAAGGTTAGGCACACTGCCCCAGGTGAGCAGTTTGCAGGTGGGGCTCTTGGAACACCCCCTCGGCCAGGTGCTGCTTGTTCCATGTCACCTCTGAAGGACCCATTCCTGAACAATGAAAGCAAGGCCGGGCCCCTGTTCACAGGATGCCCTGAGCTACCAACCCTCCCCTTGTTTTTCTCTGGATCCCACCCCAACGAGTTCCTCACACCACCCTTGGAGCCAGTCACCCCAAGAGTGGGGAATGTTAATCACACGTGAGAAATGTGCAAAGGTAATAAAAGCAAACGCGCTGATGTGTAAGGCCACATGCCCGGTTTTTCCTGCACGGATAGCTGCACAGGACACCTTGCTTCGATATTTTGGTTCCTGCCTGAACGCAGGGCTCGTGAAGAAGCCGCGCTTCCGCCCACAGTCCCCTAGAACACAGGCTTCTGGCTCGCGGGTCCCAGCTCAAGCTCCGCGAGTGTCTGCAGTGTCTGGGGCCTTTGATGTTCTGAGTGTATCAGACGAGCCCACGGGCTTTCGGGGAGCGGAGCCTCCCGGAGCCTCGGGCACTGGCGAGGAGCCCTGTGCCATCCCCCCCCCCCCGCTCCCCGGGGGGCGGGACAGAGGACCCACTGCAGACCTGCTGAGCGGACCCAGCGGGAGAGTCCGCCCCCCAGGGGAACGCAAGGCACGTCAGCCAGGCAGACGCAGACCCTGCCGAGAGTACCGGCAGTCCGTGTCCAACACCTCTGTCCACGCGGAGCGAGGAAACAAAACCGCGGGGAAGGAAGGGCCGGTGCCCGGACTCCGGGAAGCAGGTCCGGTTCACAACACCCACTGCGCCTGCACCGTGGGCCAGCTGGTCCTTCCTCTTGGCCTCCTTTCCTTCCAAAACCGAAGGAGGGAGCTGGTACAGACGTGTGAGACCCCATCACAGCCCACCAGGCTGCGGGCGCTGGCTCGGTGCTTCACCTGCGGCCCTAGGTGGGGTCTCCACCAGGTGACGTGGGGGTGGTGGGCAAGAGGCCCCCGCAGCACCGTGCGTCACCTGGACGCTGGCTGAGGGGGCAGGTAGGAAGGGGGCAGGTAGGAAGGCCAAGGAAGGAAGGCCAGGGGAGGGAGGGCCGTCCAGGTGACTCCAGTGGCCCCATACGAGCTGATCCGATCCTTTGTTTATTCCATCCTATGTCAAAGCCTCCCCCAGACCGGGATGCAAGGTTTTGCACCCCCTCTCTGAAATATGGGACAAATTACTTCCTCTCCGCCCCATCCGTCTCTCCATGTTTAAAAGCATCGCTGTGGACAGGGCCTTAAGGACCTCGGTGTGGTCCTAAGAGAACGGGGAGCCCCAGAGGCAGACGGACCAGTTTCGCAGCGAGCAACTACGTGGACCACAAGCAGCCGCCGATCCCGACGGTGACCAGCAGAGGGCGCGCTGCCACCTCCGCCGCCTCCCACTGGTTTCCATAGTGACTTGTGAAGCCGGCCCAGGGGCTACAGGAAGAAAAGCGGGGAGGGCTCGGGAGGTACCGATTGGTGGTCAAGGAACAGTCGGGGTGTAAAGTACAGCACGGGGACGATAGCCTGTAGGCTTGTGATGCCGACGCAGGCCGTCAGATGGGTACTTGGTGAAGGCTACGAAGGCCTAAAAGGCCTAAACACCGCTGCACACCGGAAACCAACCTAGCACCGTGCGTCAAGTGTAACTTGAAAAGGAAAGATGGGGCAAGCAGCCGCTGGGGATCGGAGGCGGGCTGGGCCCAGGGAGCCTGCCTTTCCTGGCAAGGGCCAGAGTGCAAGGTCTCAGTCAGCCCCGCCCTGCCCGGAGTTCCGCCGCAGGTGCGTGGGGGTGAACTGAAGCCGCCGCGGACGGCGGGGTCCGGCTGCGTCCCGAAGCATCGCGCTGTGCGGCTCTGCTCACTCGGGAGCCGGCGGGGCCGGCCGCAGAGCTGTGCACGGTGGAGGCGGAGCCTGCCTGCTGGCCGACCCTGCCTGCTCGCCGCCCCTGCTGACTTCTGCAGTTTGGACGCCCCCGGGGCCCAGCGCGGGGCACCCTCACCTGCGGGGGGCGGGGCGGGGTGTGTGTGCAGGCAGCAGCAACGCAGCAGGCCGAATAATATGCTGTTGTATGTATGAGGAGGACCCAAAATAACCGGGAATTACCTTCTGGAGGGCGGCCCCTTGCAGTACAGACTTCCCCCGCTAGGTGGGGCTCTAGGAACAGGCCTGTATCGCTGTGGGAAGGCTGCATTGGGCTTCAGGGAATTTTTTTTTTTTTTTTTTTTTTAAGACGCATTTGCCCATTTCGCGGTGGGCGATTTCCGAGTGCATCTGCTTGCACCACACACTTAATGTTCAGCAGTTTTTGACCATAAATGGCATGACCCCCATGCCCTACCCCCAGGGACAGCGGGTCCCCAGTCCCGCCCGCCCTCGGCAGGGCTGGATGCCAGGGGAGCTGCCGTTTCCAGGGCTCCTCCCCGCGGGAAGCCAGTGCAGGTGACAGGCCAGCACTGCAGACAGTCACGAGTCTCCCCTGCAGGGGAACGTGCCTGCCCTGGATCAGTCTGAGGATTCACTCAGGGAGTGGCCCGCCCCACAGACAGGCTGGGGCGGAGGGCAGGGGCAGGGGCAGGCGGTGGCTGGGTAGCTTGCGGGTCCCCCAGGGCATCCAGATCTGAAGGAATTCTGGTGTCAGCCCTGAGGGACCCAGGGACGCTCTCAAGGTTTCCTTGCTGCGCCGCCTCTGCCCGCCACCTGGTGCTCGCGGAATCTTCCTCGGCCCCAGCGTCAGGCCGAGTGCTTCGCCTGCGTCTGGCTCCGTCACCTACGGCGCAGCCACGAGTGTCAGCATCACCCACGAGACACCTGGGGCTCAGAGGTGCCAGGCTGCTGGCCCAGAGCCACACAGCTCCAGGGGGGGCTCTGTCCACGCCCGCCCGGGGACTTTCACCAGGCCGATTTTAAGGCGGCAGAGGCCTGGCTGCGGTTGGGTATGGAGTCCAGGGCGGGCCCAGGTAGGGCCCCAGAGTGGCCCACGCCCTCCCATCCGGGAGATAACCGGGAAGCTGTGTTTGCACAATGTCCTCGAAGCTCTCCTCACTTCGTAAGCGCCCACATGACAGTCGGCGTGGTCACAGCTGTGTCAGGAGGAGACGCGAATGACGGGTTTCTTTTCCCAGGACACCCTTCATCCGCGGTGGGGGGCGGGGGGCCGGGGGGGCGGTGTCTGGGCTCCAGAGACAGGTGAGGACGCGGCCCAGTCCCATGCAGCTCCAGGCAGGCAGGAGGGGCTGCAGCGGCTGTGTGAAGCGGTGGGGCCTTCTGCCAAGGCTTCTGCAGCCCTGGCTTTGGGCAAGGAAGGAAGCGAGGTGTGGGATTCCCGCGGCCACGGCGCCCGTGGGAGGACTCCCCTCGAGGTGGTGAGGTCTCAGCCCAAGACCGAGCGGCGCTGAGAGACGAAGGACCACCGTCCTCCCTTGGGAGCAGGGGGCAGGCAGGCTGGGGCAGGTGTCTGAGGACGTGGGGCCACGACCTCTGCTGGCGCCTCAGGTGCAGGAACACCTGCCGGCCGGGGTGTCCGTCTGCAGCCCCACGTCCCTCTGTCCCTTGGCAGCGTGAGTGGGTGGCAGCCCTTCTGCTGGGACGCCAGGGAGAGGTTTGAATCTGCTGTTTGGATCTCTCTGCCCGAAAACCTGAGAGGAACTGGAGACACAGAAGCCCGGCTCACAGCAGCCGCACAGGCCTTGACCGTGGCCTTTGTGGGCCCTGGGACTCCGCAGATGCCCAGTGGAGCTGGAGGAAGGGTCAGGCTCAGAAGCCAGACCTTCCAGAGGGCAAAGGGTGGTTCCAAAGCATGCCTGACCCCACAGTGGGTCCGCAGGGCACAGGAGGTGGCAGCGACAATGATAAACTTGATGAAGCCGGGGGATGGTTCCGTGCCCCCCAAAGAATGGGACTTTGCACAGTGAGTGGGCAGCTAGGGCCCCAAGCAGGTGGGACGCACGAGTGGGAAACAGGGAGGGCTGGGGCAGCCCGGGGTCTGCCGAGAGCCAGCCTGGCCCCGGCCCCTGGGCGTGGTCTTGCGCCAGGCGTGCGTCTGAGAGCAGGACGGAGGAGCTGGGGCTGAGGCCAGCTGGCCCAGCGGGCGAGCACCACCCCTCCTCGCTGTCTGCAGTCAAACCAGACATTGAGAAGTGCCCATGAGCACCCTTGGCCCCACACCCGCCCTAGGCTGCCCCTGGCCCCCATGGGGAGCCCTGAGCTCCCCAACATAGGACATGCTCTCCGAGATCCCTCACACCAAACCCCTGGGGAAACCCCGGCTGCAACCATCTCCTCCTTGGCACCAAGCAGCCCACGCCGTCTGGACCCCCCAGCTCCCCAGGCTGTTTGCTGGACCCAGGACACCACTGAACTTCTCACAGCGTTCGCCCCTGCTGTCCGGTCTCAGGAGGCCGGAGTCCCCCCCTCCACCCATGGGCTGGGCATTTCCCCTGTGCTCCCTGCACCTGGCGTCTGTCACCTGCCCTGCACCTGCCACCCCGTCCTCCGTCACCCTCACCTGCCTCCTTTGCAGCCCAGAGCCTGTGTCGTGGGCACCACTAGTTTTTGAATGTTCAGCTCAATGTCTCCTGCACATCTGTGGAAGGGAGGGAGGGGAGGACAGCCCAGTGGGTGGTGTCAGGAAGGGCGGCTTGGACCAGCCCTCCCGGGATGCGGGCAGGGCCCAGGACTCGGGCTGCCCCGCTCGGGAGCAGGGTTGGGGGCAGGGCAGGGCAAGGAAACTGCCTTCAGGGAGACCCCCTCGCCGGTGGTCCTGGGTGCGCAGCGGCACCTGGAGGCGAGAGCGTTAGCACTGAAGGAATCCCAGAAGGAAGGGCCGAGCTTCCGCATCCTTCCGCCTTTCGTGACGAGCCATCTGCCCAGTTCCTTTCCCAAAACCCACGTCTCTTCCCTCCACGTGAGCAAAGCAGGGCCGAAGCCAGAGTCCCTGGGAGAACAGGCGGGGGCGGTGGGGGCAGGCGAGGCCCCAGGGAGGCCAGTTCCCGCAGCGAGGCGGAGCGGGAGACGCAGGGTCGGGGGCCTGCCCCGGGCGGCCCGCCCGCCCGAGCAGCTGACAGCCAAGAGTCACGGTGACTCACGGGACTGAATGTTCGGGTGTGGGGCTTGGCACCAGGCGGGGCGCCCCGCACAGGGGAGCCGGGCGAAGGAACCGGAAAAGAGGCGCAGCTCACTTGACTGCTGTCACCACAGGGCTACCGGGAGGGACCCGTGGAGCGTGGCTGGGGACCAGCCTCCCGGCGAGGTCTGTATCTCTCAGCCAGGGGACTGTCCCCACCGGTAGGAGACAGGCTTCCTCCGGGCCTGTGGTTCTCCTGCCAACGGGGCAGCGCTTGGGATTGCCCGTGGTGCCCCGGGCTCCCCACCCAGGGGTCTGACGGGCTGGTCTGGGCGGGCCCTCGGCTGCGTTTGTGAAGGAAGGACAGTGTCTTCCAGGGCCGGTGTCATAGCTTAGATGCCTGCAGGCAGCCGTCAGACGCACAAATGCCGCCAAGCAGGGCAAGTGAGACGAAGTGCTGAGGTCTACACATCAGGAAGGCCTGACACTCCGACGACACAGAGTGTCTGCCCCCTGAAGGGGCCACCTTCCGGAACAAAAGGTCCTGTATGGTTCTAGCTGGGGAAAGCCTCTGATTCTCCTGTTTCCTCGCCTACATCAGGTTTTTAGAGACATAGCTGAGCTCAAACAACAGCGACAAGTCAAAAGCTAGGAGGTCACACACACACACACACACACACACACACACACTGATGTGAGCCAGTGCAAGCAAGCGCCGGAAAAGTTGTAGCAACCAGCAGCCCCACACCATCGCCTCGAAGGTCCCGCTTTACGCTGCATCTTAAGAAACCAATGAAGAGTACAGGAGGGCGGTGTGGAGCAACGCGTTATCCTAGCCGTTGGCAACACAGGAAAGTTACCCCGAGGGGAAGAATTCACGAAACGTTAACGTAATGACGGTTGCTGTCCTACCCGTGACCCACGGGCCTCATGCAGCCCAGGATGGCTACGAATGCGGCCCAACACAAAATCATAAATTTACTTAAAAACTGGGTTTTTTTGCTCATCAGTTTTCATTAGTGCTCGTGCATGTACTGTGTGGCCCAGGACAACGCTTCTTCCGGTGTGGCCCGGAGACGCCAAAAAAAAGGCTGAGTTCCCCATGGTGTAGAACATGGCCTTGCAAGACAAAGTCCAACAAGGGAAATTGAAATACCTGTCAGAATCCCCAAATGGGGGGTGTTTAACGTAGACAATTGGTGGACAGGCGACAGGAGAACTGAGAAGCTGGGAGTATGGCGGGTCGTCTCAGGACTGGCAACAGCAGAAAGACACGACCATCCTTGGGGACACAGGACAGACAGGAAGGCAGCAATGGTCCCAGTGGGGTGCGGGCCACTCCACAGATGCCGGGGTCACAGCAGACCTGCTGGGGGCCACGGGGACCCCGAGTGAAATGGCTTTTCTGGGAGGAAGCAGGAACACAGAGAAGATACCTCCTGAAGGACAGGAAGGGAAGTGCCCTGGCTCCTCACTGGTTCCTGCCTCCCGCTCTCCAGCCAGTGCGTCCCTTTGGCCAACCCCACGTACGGTGGCCGGAGGGCAGAGGAGCCTGGGAAATGCACGCAGATCCCTACACCTACAGTTCGGAGCTGAGCCTCTTACTGTCTGGGTGGCCGAGGACAAAGCACCCGACCTCTCTCAGCTCAGTCTCCTCACACATAAAGCTGAGATGATGCTCGCCGTGGCCTGTGTAATGAATACAACAGGCTGGTGACAAGGTGAAATGATGGAGCTGTCCACCCCCCACACACTACGCGACGATGAAGAGCCAGAACCTTGGATTCCCTCCCTGGGAGCCCAGGGTCACGATCTTTCAGCCACCTTGCAGCTGCTGAGCAGCCCTCCCGAGTCGTTCCTGCCCGAGGGACCCCTGTACGCTGCGAGGGCCACGTGGCAACCTGCAGTTCACCTGTCAACCTCATATCGTACACTCACAGGGCTTTCCTGCGGCTGGACAAGGCTCACGGCACTTTCCGAGCCTTACTGCTGGGAACAGACGCTCTAGGACTCCGGCCATCTATCCCAGCAGGTAACACAGGACGGAGGGGCCAGTGGACGCGGAAGAGGGTCCCGCTCCAACCTGAGTGCCCTTCCCACCCCACCCCACCCCACCCCCGCAGTGCTAACCCCCCACCGAGAACTGGGGTCAGCCACACCCCCACTCCATGTTGTGACAGCAGCCTTCAACAAAATTAGAGGGACGTCAGACAGGAACCAAGACGTTTCGTCTCTCCTCCCAACCCGATCGATCGGCACAGAAAAACACCGACTCAGACCTGGGAGAAAACCCGGGGCCTCCGTCCCAGGAGTTTGCCGGCCCTGCACGCCCGACACCCGGTGACTCGAAGGGGCCAGGGAGTGCGCCCAGCTCCCATCGGTGTCGTCACACTGCCCAGACGCAGCTCATTATCAGACAGCCACATGTGGCCGCTGTTACTCGAGGGGCGGGAAGCATTTTCCACGTGAAAAGAAAGGCGCAATGTGTCAGCACGAAGGCCAACCACCAGTGGCTGCCGGTGGTTCTGCATGGGAGAGGAGAAGGAGCACTGCCACCCCCTCCTTCTGCTGTCTGGGGTCTTACCACAGACCTGCCTGGCATTCACAGTGTCTTTAAAACACAGACATGCTCCGAGGGGCTGTGCCGCAGTGCAGGCTGCGGCTCCTGGTACGTGGAGAAGGGGCTCCCCCTCCCCCCGACCGCCCAGAGATCCACTTGTGAAATAGGGACGTTGCGTTAGAAACACCTCCAGTCTTGGAAGGGTCAGAGCAAGGGTTCCCCGGGGAGTCTGTTCTCCACGTGGGAAAGCACATTCCCAGCAGGGGCCCGAGGCTCTGCTGGCCGCAGCCCCGGGCTCCGCGGCAGCCGGTCTGACACTCCGCAGCACCCTGCACAGCCCTCGTGCCATCCTGTGGAAGACGGGGGGAGGGCTTGCCCACACTCAGTGCCCAGCCCACCCCGTACTCACTTCCTTCCTAAACTGAGGAGGAAAGTTAGATTTCGAAAAGACACAGGGCCTACAACTCCAAATTCTGAAATCTGCTACCTGAATTCACCCTTCAGTGTGAATTGCCTTCCTTGCGCGTTCCCGCAGCCCGGTGCTTGAGCCCTCGGTATGGCGCCCATCAAAACTCACCCTGTGTGGCTCCTTGGGCTGTGGGCCCACCTGCCTTGCCCTCCATGGGCGCTCCTCGAGGGAAAGGACCAGACCTGGTCCCTCCTCCACCCCAACGACCCCAAGCACATGGCACTTGTCCCTCCCTCCAGCAGGTGTTCAGAGTTTGCTTACAGACTCCGACCCATACGCCAGGCCCCGAGCGTGTGCTCCTGGGACCAGCACACCCTGGGACGGCGGCGGGGCCCTGGTGGCTGCATTCACGAGAGGCAGCGGCCAGACAGCGTCAGGTGACTTCAGACCCCCGTGAGTCTATTGACAAAATAACCCGTTGATAGGATTCCTTAACGTGTAAATCTAACCATTAGTGAAATAAAGACAGCAGCTGGCCCACTGAACATTGACTCTGCATCCACAGGACGTCTCCTGCTCCCGGGACTTCCTTGAATGGTCATGCGCCATGAGTAACCGGAGGTCTGCAGTGTATCTTCTAAAGGCCCTCATTTGCATAGGAAGTGTCACCCGCAAGGAGGAGATGCGAGGCCCTCCCATGTATCATCCCGGCATTCTCTTTCTCTGATGAAAGAAAATGAGACACCTTCTTGACTCATGAACTGGGCAGTTTTCAGACGACAATGGAGAGGAAGCTGTGTTTCACCCAAGTCACAGCACCGCGTGATGGCTAAGGGGCATGGGCTCAGGGCCTCAGGAATGCCGCCCATCTCTCCTCCCTTTCTTCATCACCCAAAAGTTGGTCCTGTTTTTCCTCAATCTCAGGTGTGCCTGTGCAGCCTCGGGGTGTGGGCCAGCCTGAGCTGACACCTAGTTCTGAGTGTGTCCAGGGCTGGACCCATGAGGTTCCCAGGTGGCCACAGACACTCCCGGGGTTTTAGGGAGAAGGCAGAAAGCTTGGAAGTACCGTAGCGGGGATCAGTCATCTCCCAGGGACACGCCCCAGGACCGACCCAAGAGGAGGCAGGTCCTTCCCATCCCCATCGGCAACCAGGTCGGAGTCAGACCGGGGCCAGCGCCCGAGGCCCAGAGGGCGAGAGGACAGCTGTGTGCTCATGTCAGACCTGGCTTCACCCCTCAGGCTCGTCGTTCGCTCCTGGCCCGGTGGGCGTGGCCTGTGAGGTAAGAGACACTGGCATGAAGCACCGGGAGCTACGTCACGTTGTCATCACTGTGATATTACAGGAATCGCAGCCTGGCTCACTCTGCCTGTGGCTGCGGACCTGGACCCTTTATAAAGCCAACAGGCACTTCTTCCCAGCCAGTCTCCCTCCGTGAGCCGCGAAGCCGTCAGCCATGAGGATCTACTACCTGGTCTTCGCGTTGCTGCTCTTGTGCCTGACACCCGTTCCAGGTAAGACGGGCTGGGAGGGAGCGGGTGGAAGGGATGGGTAGCATGTCCTTCAAGTCAGTCCCTCCTCATTCCTCAGGAAGGTGGAGACCAGGTAGGTTTGTTGTGTGGGGAAGAGGCGCCGGTCTTCTTCCTGGAAGGACCGAGAACCTGGAAGCAGGTTTCCCAACCTTTTTTGATCAACTTTTATTTTTCTGGGGGTTTTTTCCTTCAATTTTGTTTTCTTTTGGCTTTCGGTGTACAAGACAATTATGTACTTTACAAAGTGATCCCCTCAATATTTCCAGAACCCCAACTGGCACCACATGTAGTTACTGCAATTATTATTGACTTGATCTCCTATGCTTTGCATATGTCGCCATGACTGTTTTGTAACTACCAGTTGGGGTTACCTCCTTCCCCCAGCGCCCAAGCCCTTAGGCCCTTAGTCCCTTCCCTCTTCCCCCAGCACCCAAGTCCTTCCTCTCTTAACAGACGAAGTAGCTCACAAAAGACACCTTTTTATGGAAAGACATACCTGTTAATGAAGCAGGAAGGACGTGAGACTGACATTTGAATACCAACAGAAAAGCTCAACTTAATCTGAGAACAGAAGCACACGCTCCCATTTTAGTAGTTTAGTGGTTGGAGGTGGTGTCTTTGGGGCCCTAGAGATGTCCCGGCGACCACTGCCTGCCTGGTCCTTCCAGGAGTCCCTTGCTGTGGGTGCTCCCCGTAGGCACACTTGCCAGTGCCATGGGAGGCTCGTGGCTGAGCTGCAGCCCTTAGATACTTTGTTGATTGGATGCCTGGTGCTACCTTCTACTTGACTCCTGACTTCATAGAACAAAGGAAAAAATAAAAAGGCAAAATAAAAGAAAGACAACAAATCAGTTACTTGAGGAATTCCAAAAGTCCTGTTTATACCCACAGCCTCCCTAGAACCTGCCCACACCTTCCCCTGTCTCTTTGCAGGCGATGCAGGAATCATAACGAGAGTGCAGAGGTATTTCTGCAAAGCCAGGAATGGCCGCTGCGCCGCGCTGAGCTGCCTCCCGAAGGAGGAGCAGATAGGCACCTGCTCTCTCCGTGGCCGGAAGTGCTGCCGCAGGAAGAAGTGACAGACCCCTGGGCACAAGGAGACCGTCGTCGAGTGAGAAGATGCCTGCTTGAAGTTCGTCCAAGCCAAGTTCAATTAAATATTTTTTTTTAAAAAAATCACAAGTTTGACTGTGCTTGTCAAGCCCTGGCTATTTAGGTGGTTGTGCCAAATCGGCCACTTAGAAAGTGTTCCTGACGCACCTGTGATCCAGGTCCAAGTACGATCTCCTGGAGAAACCCCAAGGGCTCCTGAATGAGTTTCCAAGGGTTTCTCCTTTTCTGTCGATTTTATACCCCAGGGAAATCAGACCCCTTGTTTGCCCTGAAACACTCCTTGCTGTTTTCCCACCCACACCTTTGAGCCTTCCTGTCCCTCTACCTGCCACAGCATCTGCGCATCAGATCTGTCTCTAAGACATCACTGCATTCCTCGGAGGTTGCCCCAAGCCCTTCAGAGCACTTTACACCTCAGAGAAAGGGGGCACTTGGCTCTTCGCAAACGATCCTTCCATTTTCCTCTCACCCACACCTCCACTCTGGCTGACCTCATGCCTGGTGTGGACTCTCTCCCCTAGCTTTTCTCCAAACGTTAACCCGCCCCCTCAGGAGCCATCTCAAATCCTACCCCCTTCCTGAAAACACAGCTCATCTCCCAAGGAAATACTGTCTCCCCTGTGATTCAGCACATGGTCCTGACTTGAGTGCCCTGTCCACGAAACTGCTTGATTTCTGCATCATACACATTTGCCTATTTCCAATCTTAGTATTTGACACATCGTAAAGGGCAAGGACCTGGTCTTTCTCATTTCTGCCCTGCCTAGTAAAGTGCCTTGCACCAAAAAAGGATTAACTTCTCTCCCTCTCTTTCTGCCTCCTTTCCCTTCTCTCAAATAAATAAATACATACATATAAAGTCTTTTCTTTCTTTTTTTATATATTTCATTGATTAAAGCTATTACAGTTGTTCCACCCTGTAACCCCCTCTCTACAGCATTCCTTCCCCCTTAGTTCATGTCCATGGGTTGTATATACAAGTTCTTCGGCTTCTCCATTTCCCATTCTTAACCTCTCCCAGTCTGTTTTCTACCTACCATTTATGCTTCTTATTCCCTGTACCTTTTCTCCCATTCTCTCTCCTCTCCCTCCCCACTGATAACCCTCCATGTGATCTCCATTTCTGTGATTCTGTTCATGTTCTAGTTGTTTGCTTAGTTTGTTTTTTGTGGGTTTTTTTTAGGTTTGGTTGTTGATAGTTGTGAGTTTGTTGTCATTTTACTGTTCATATTTTTTATCTTCTTTTTCTTAAATAAGTCCGTTTAACATTTCATATAATAAGGGCTTGGTGATGATGAACTCCTTTAGCTTTACCTATACTGGGAAGCATTTTATCTGCCCTTCCATTCTAAATGATAGCTTTGCTGGATAAAGTAATCATGGATATAGGTCCTTACTTTTCATGACTTTGAATTCTTCTTCCCAACCCCTTCTTGCCTGTCAAGTTTCTTTTGAACCTTCACTTTTTCTTCTATTTTACAACCATACTCAACCATTTCTGTGAGCATCCTGATTATCAGTGTTTTGAACTCTGCATCTGATAGGTTGGCTATCTCTTCATCACTTAATTGTATTTTTTCTGGAGCTTTGATCTGTTCTTCCGTTTGGGCCTTTTTTTTTTTTGTCTCAGCATACCTGTTACATAAGAAGGGGTGGAGTCTTAGGTATTCACCAGGGTGGAGCAACTCACATCACTGTGTTGTGACACTGTATGTGGGGGAGGGGTCGGAGAGGGAGCAGTGCTGCTTCCTCGTCTCTTTGCCAGCTTTCAGTCACTTCTCCCACTACCCACAAGCAAATTGGACTCTTCTGGTGCTGATTGCCAGGTAAATGGGTTTGTGCACATTCTAGGACCCTGTGGGTTTCTCCAGTGAACTCTCCTGTGAGGCTGGAAGTTTATCCCACCACCTCAGCCCCCACAGGTTTTTTTACTCAGAGGTTTTGAGGCTCTATTTCCCTGTACTGTAACCCTGGGTTGAACAGTCTGTCTCGATCCCCAGTTGTTCCTCCCCGTGTATCCACACTCGAATGTGGGACCGCCCACTCCACCAGCCACTGACTCACCCACCCCATCCTCTGGCCACTGCCTTGCCCCAAGTCCTCGTCACCCAGATGCCTGTCTCCACCCCTCCTACCAGTCTGGATGAATGTTTCTTCTTTAACTCCTTAGTTGTCATATTTCCATAGAGTTCAATTTTCTGTTAGTTCTGGTTGTTTTTTTGTTTTTTAAACTGAGAGGTCACCAGTTCAAGTCCCTGTCAGAGCACTCGGCTGGGCTGCAGGCCAGGTGCCCGATTAGGAGTGTGTGAGAGGCAACCAATCAACTTTTGTCTCATACATCAATGTTTCTCTCCCTCTCTTTCTCCCTCCCTTCCCCTCTGTCTAAAAAAATATATAAATAAAATAAATAAATAAACTCTTACAAAAGGAGTAACCGCTGTGGGGACTGCCCTCCCACAGTACACAGCTACGGAACCAGACAAAGGTGTGAAGCCATGTTTGAGACACTGGGCAACAAGCAGAGCAGGGCTGCGATCGAAGAGACACCGACGATGTCTCCAGCCCACTGGGCTCCAGGCCAACAGACCAGCCACCCTCTGAGTCGAAGCGATGGAGGTCTCTGAGAGCAAGAGGCACCCTCATTTCCAGGGCAGAGAACCAGAGGGGCATCTGGGGGTGGAGCTCCTGAGAGCTGCGGAGTGGGCCCCGTGAACGTTGGCCTGAGCACTGATGTGAGCACACTTAGGGTGAAAGTTCACGAGGAAAACACCATGCAGGGGTTAGGGGGAAAATCCCAGGAGCACATACAAGGCTGGAAAAGATGCGTTTCCACCAGCAGAGTGGAGAGACCACAAGAAAGTCCTCAGACAGGAATTGCATTAGTAGTAGGGTCATTGAGCTCTAGATTTCACTGTTCTGAAGCTACTCTGACAAGTTTTTTTTTTTAATCCCTGAAAGAATCGTACTGATCTACAAACAACTTAACCATGAGCCAGGATAAACCTAATGTTCTTTAAAGGAAAACAACAAAGTCTATCACTGAACAATATAAGCTTTATGATATACTGAATCCAATCAGGAATGCTAGGTGTGCAAAGAAGCAGGAGAACATGGTCTATAGCCAAGAGAAAAATCAGTTAGTACATACAGACCCTGTGACGACAAAGGTGATAGAATTCGCCACAAGGGATTCACAAGAACTGTTACAAATCCTATAAATGTCTCCAAGTTTGAGGGGGAAAAATACATCATGATGAGGAGATGAGTGAAAGCTATACAGAACCACATGGAACCTTCCACAGATGAAAAATAATATCTGAGTAAAAAATATACTGAATTGGATTAACAGCATACAACATTACAGAGGAAAGGATAAATAAGCCTGTGCAAATACAAACGAATGAAGAAATGAAGCAGACAGAAGAAGGAAAAGCTAAAAGCAAATGCACAGCAGCCTGCAGGAAAACATCTAGCATCCACAGGACATGTGTTTGGAGTCGGAAAGAGGGTGGGTGAGGGAAGATGTAGCTGAGGAGAGAAGGGCCTGCCATTTTCCAAATCGGACAAAGCCACAAACCAAAGAGCTTATTGCTCAAAGAAACTGAGCCAAGTGAGCATAAAGAAAACCATGCGAAACACATCACAACCAAATTAACCAACGGATCAAGAGAAAACCTTAAAAAGCAGCCCGAGAGAAAGACACTTTAAATTCAAAGAAACAAAAGGAGAAATCAAATCAAACTTTTCACGAATATCTATGACAGCTGAAATGAACTGGGGCAATGCTGATAAGTAACAAAAGAAAAAAGTAGTGCTAACCTAGAGTTCCACAGAAGAAAGATATATTTCAAAACTAGTGGTAAAACAGACTCTGGGTGATGGTGTGCCAGTGCCAGGGTGTCGGTGTTAATAAGTGCCCCGTCCACCGGATGGGGATGCTAGCTATGGGCAGCTGTGCAAGTGGGGGAAGAATGTACATTGGGGATCTCTGTACCTTCCCCTCAATTTTGTTGTGAACCTAAAACTGCTCTAAAAATGCAAAGTCTAGTCTTAAGAGAAGGTATAAATTTTTAAACAGCAAAAAAAAAATCTTAGAAAAATCCTCACCAGCAAAAACTGGCAGTATTTAAAAAAGAAGGAGCAGGAGTAAATGGAGGAGAAAAAGAAGAAAGAGGATGAAGAGGAAGAAGAAGAAGAACAAGAAGAGGAGGAGGAGAAAAAAAGGAGAAGGAGAAGAAGGAGGAGAAGAAAGAGGAGAAGAAGGAGGAGAGGAAGGAGGAGAAGGAGAAGAAAAAGAAGGAGGACAAGGAGAAGGAGGAGAGGGAGGAGCAGAAGAAGGAGAAGGAGGAGGAGGAGAAGAAGAAGAAGAAGAAGAAGAAGAAGAAGAAGAAGAAGAAGAAGAAGAAGAAGAAGAAGAGGAGGAGGAGGGGGAGGAGAAAGGAAGGGGTAGCAGAAGCAGGACAAGGAGGAGGAGGAGAATTATTATTATTTCTTTAGACAGAAGAAACAGTGAAGCCAGGTGGAATGTGGCTCTACATGGAGAAATGAATTCAGCTGCTAAGAGCCTAGATAATCTTAAAGGGAAAGATTGTAAAGTGAGTAAAGATGAGACTCAGATGCACATTACTCATTTTTGAAAAAGCACTTGAGATATCAAACATAAAGATATTGGTATTGGCCACATCCTTTCACCAAACCAGAGAAATATTTTGGAAACAGAGAGTCCAGTAGAGCCCACAGAGGCCCTGTTGCATACCCAGCTTTGCCAGAGGCTCGCCTGACCTGGAAGGGACACTGTTAGGATCAGGATGGAAGTGACGGGGTTCCAGGGCGAACCTGGTCACCAGGAGGGGAAGAAAGTGACAACAGAGATGTGGTGTGCCAGTGACGGGGTCTCCTTCACAACGTCCTTCCATCCCTGGCTTCACCATTCTCCAGGGCCCATCAGAAACTCCCCTGAGAAGGCCACCCCCACCTGGACACCCAATGGCTCCCACAGCTTCCTGTGAGTGCACCTCCACCCAGCCCGTCACCTGGGCCCTCTGAAGCTCGGCATTTTGGTGAGCACACAGCGTGGACCGTGACCACGTTCCACCTCTCTCTCCAGCGTCTCCATAGAGCACTGGTCAAAAATGACCCTGGATTATGGACTTTTTCCCAACACATCTGAAACAAATGCATCGATACATTCTCTACAGAGGGTTATAATCTATGTGAGTAGATGTTTCTCTATCTCAAACATCCTCCGACTGGAGAGA